CTTAGTAAAAGCCGTTCAAACAGCATGTTTCAACCAAAGGAAACTTGTTTTCATAGGGGAAGACTAAAAGCACCAAAATGTTTATTTAATATTTAAGCATTGACACTTAAGAGTGAAAGTTGACGGATTTTATTTCACTGTTTTGATACTCTCGGTTACAGTCGGGGTCGATCGCTAAGTCCGAAAGTTAATTACCTCTTCTTAGTATGGCATCATGCTGGACGATTTCGCTACGAGAACTATCTTTACAGTCGAAACAAGCCAGAGTGGCATGGATTCTCTTTGCCTACTTAGTGATAACAGAAAGGAAGATGCAATGAACAACAACAACAAAAAAAGACGAAAACCTGATTACATGACACAGGGTTTTTGTCGTAGGGTGACATTACTATAGACACATTTTTTCCGGAGAATTGTCTTCAACCTGTCACTCAGTTGGGTTTCTGTGTCATAGGGATGTCACCGGTGCTGATTGCCACCTCGTTGTCTTGCCGTTCACGTTGTCGCGCGCACACAGAATAAACCCTTGTTCTAAAAGAACGCGGACATACCATTTGCTTCATTTTCTTCCTGAATCTTTGGTTCAGCAAAGCGTAAGCAAAGGGATTGACGGCAGAGTTAAATATCATTATCATGTGCGCGATACGAGTTGTAAAAGGACTCAGTTTCACGGAGCTAGCATAATCTTGAATCAGGTGCAATATTCCTTCTGCTCCCCAAGAGATTACAAGAATGGCACTGATGGTAACAGCCGTTAAGGTGGCGCGCTTCCTTAACCTCAACACACCCTGTATACAAAACAAATACATAAACCACAGGTTACCCAAGTGTACAATATAAGTGACCTATAATACCAAGTGTTTCGTCTTGTCTACTTCCTTTAATTGCCTATATTGTGAGGCTCCGCCCGAAAAGGGCATCTCTTCTGTCAAAAATAGTATATAAAAGGATAAGGGGTCGGACATCAAGGGGGAGCCTCCCGCGTTGTTGAGTATCCCACTTTCCGGGGCTAAACCTAGTTATGTCCTACCGCATACCTGTTGATAATGTGTAAGTACATCATCACTGTTCTTGAACCATAAGGTGTACACCACCTTGGAGTATAACAAGACCAGAAAAATAAACAAAACAGAATTAATTGAAGTGTAAACAGTAAAGAGGGCCTTTACGCCTTCCTCAGTTAATAAAGAAATGCAGTAGTTAGACATATTTTCCTTCTCAAAACGGCTCCGTTTTATGAATCTTGGGATTTTGCTTATTGCTGCGAGGATCCAAATTCCAGGAATAATCACCTGAAATAAAGAGACAAAAAAATATTTAAAAAGTTGAATCACACATCTAAAAGTCAGTTATTTTTTTCGAGACGAAAAAATGTCTTAGATATAAAGTTCGTCTCTGAGATAAGGAAAGAGCATTTGGGAGTAAGAATGGAGGGGCGAGACCAGGACACCACCCGCAACCCTCCCCATCAGATCCGCCCACGATATGTCTACCTGTTTCTTAATCAGTTTGCCTCAACACGAGCCAGCATACGGACGAGACAAATTCCTACCTGCATAACATTTTATTTCAAAGAAACACACCTTTACTTTGTGAAACGTTAGCTTTCCGCGGTTTCCATAGGGATGTACAACGGCGAAGTACCTTTCAAAGGCAACGGCAAGCACTGTAAATAATGAGGCCTCAGCTCCAATCCACGCTAGTCCTCCCCCGGTTACAACTGCGCACAAAATTCCCTTTGGATGGTCGACATCGTGGCTTAAAAAAATTGTTGGTGTAACAAATGTTACGTAACAGATGTCCGCTGCGGCCAGGTTGACGAGGAGATAGTTGATGGGTGTCCTGTAGAATAAGATGGTCAGCTATTGAGTAGTGTAGGCCCGAGTAGTGTAGGAGCTGCTCGTAAGGTCTCTCCTAATTGGTCGCAGGAAACAATGACATGTCATTTTTTCAATTGTTTCAGTATTGTTTGGGGTCAGGGAAACGCAACATTGGTGACTTCTCTCCCGAGCAGCTGCTACATGACCCCAGCCATACTCAACATTAGACTCGCATTTTATTGTACTTTTGTAGCAAGACTTTAATACAATATACTGCAATTTATTGTAAAGTATTGTAATTTTATTTTATTATTGTTATTATTATTATCATTATTATTATTATTTTTGTTTGTTTGTTTGTGTAAGTGTTGATAGAGATTGAAATAAAAAATAAAACAAACAAACAAAAAAACAAACAAAAAAAGTAAGGAATAACCGCCTATGCTGAATATTTCATTCAGTGTAAAGCGCTTTATCCAAATGCATTTTAAGGCTTTGTTCATTCATGTTCAGTCCCCCATTCTCGCGTTCGCCAATAATTGTGTTCCTCTCTATTTTGGCCATTTTGTTGTCCCAGATAAAGTTAAAGGTGATCTTGTTTACCTGATCACAGAATTTTTCAGGGACTGGAAGAACAGGTGCAATGAAAATAAGTTTTTAGAGGCCTAGAGATTTTACAATATTTATTTTTCCTAGTAGAGTTAATTTTCGTCTCTTCCAGTTATTCAGTGTGTTTTCCAAAGCATCTAATTTGTCATAAAAATTTAATTTATCACATGTTCTTTTGCAGTTCGAAAAGTGTACTTAAAGTTGAAAAGGGTATCTTCTCTATTTTTCCATTTTCCAAGCCATATAGCTTCTGACTTCGTGGGGTTGATTTTAAGCCCTGAACACCTTTCAAACTTTTCCAGAAGCTCCAACAATACGTTCATCGATTCTTGGTTCCTCAGAAAAACCGTTGTGTCATCCAGCCATTCCTGGTAATATATCGTTTCAGCCAAGGCCAAAAGCGAAGCTCCAGTCTTTCTCAAGTAATTCAGCTGGTTTTGGTTGATCGCAAAAATAAACCTTGTTGAAGTCAAACCGTGTATAAAATCAACAACCCCTGGAGATATTCTTAAACTCACTTTTAGCCTGCGAGCAATCCCTCCCTTTGGAAGATATCGTGGAAAGTAGATGCGCAAGAGGCACGCGAGAGGAGAAGCTAAAGCGCGGGTCTGTTGAGAGAAAGGAGAGCTCTCTCCTTTCCTTGGCCCCTCACGACTTCGCCGCTCGCTCGCGCGTTCCCGCGCGGCTTGCTTTGCTCGCCCAAATAACTCACTTTCTGCGTTGCCCCCGTGTTACTGATCCATCAAGCACCTATGCCATAAATACGATCAGGTATTTAAGTTAACGACTACTACTTTAAATTTACCTCATTTGTCGATTTTTCATCACTACAGCACAGACGAAAAAGTTTCCCACGATGCAGGTGATAATTAATATGGAAGTTACTGTTGTAAATGCGACATCAGCCGACTCCTCAGACATGGCCATGGCCGAAGGCTGTAAGTCGTGTTACACTCAGGTAATCTGTGTGAAGACAATTTTAAGTAGCGCTTTGTTAGCTATTGGGTATTGCATTAGCCATTTATTTCACAAATCACCACGCAAGAAATCTATACCGGGGTTTCTTTTCAGCTCAAACAGGGTGTTTTCCTCTGTATACAATTACCAAAAGTAAAGCGAACGGGAGGTAACAATGAGCAATAATTGTACGCGACCAAATGCTTATCTTTCGCCCATTTCTATATATTGTAACACATCATGTCGGTAACCAAAACCTAAAGGAATACAGACATACTTATAAANCCATAAATACGATCAGGTATTTAAGTTAACGACTACTACTTTAAATTTACCTCATTTGTCGATTTTTCATCACTACAGCACAGACGAAAAAGTTTCCCACGATGCAGGTGATAATTAATATGGAAGTTACTGTTGTAAATGCGACATCAGCCGACTCCTCAGACATGGCCATGGCCGAAGGCTGTAAGTCGTGTTACACTCAGGTAATCTGTGTGAAGACAATTTTAAGTAGCGCTTTGTTAGCTATTGGGTATTGCATTAGCCATTTATTTCACAAATCACCACGCAAGAAATCTATACCGGGGTTTCTTTTCAGCTCAAACAGGGTGTTTTCCTCTGTATACAATTACCAAAAGTAAAGCGAACGGGAGGTAACAATGAGCAATAATTGTACGCGACCAAATGCTTATCTTTCGCCCATTTCTATATATTGTAACACATCATGTCGGTAACCAAAACCTAAAGGAATACAGACATACTTATAAAGTCAGATGGTCCATAATTTGTATCCTGTGTTTTCCGATTGTTTGATTTGTTAATTCACAGTTTTGTACAGCGACGGAAATGAATTACGGTTTACTAGTGTTAATCTTTAAATGTCCCCTTTTCCTCCAAAAATTGCCTTTACCTGAATTTGAAGATGAATTTTTCCCCCAGCATTGGCATCTAATTCAAATAGTTCCTTTCGGATCATGGTATTTAGCAGCCCCTTTACGCTTTCGGCTTTTCAAGGAAGATCCTCTGTTTACTGATTAATAGCAGCGATTTTTAAACATCTACTTCAATTAATTAATGTTGTCGGATTTTCAGTCTATGCAATGTGTACACTACATGAACCGGAAGACATTCATGTCGACATGAAAAAGCTAACGTGGCAGTATAAACACCTATCCAATATGTGACAATCTTCTTTCAGGGGAAAAGAATGGTCATTCGAGACTGCGAGACCCTGGTTTCAAAATTCGACACCGAGACTTGAGCGTTTTTATCAATTCCGGGCCCGAGACTTTACTTCTAAAAAATTCCGAGCCCCGAAACTCTAAGCGCCAAAAATTTACAATGGTGCAAATCAGTAAAGCTAACTAAAATAACCAAAAACGTCAATGAAAGTTAGCGAAAGCCCACCAATATACTGCTTTCTCTTGCTTTACTGTCTTAATTTTATAGCTCAGTTCGATAAGCTGTTGCCACGAACTTTGAAAAATTCGACTCCTGAAGAACAAACGACAGATTCGAGACTCCGAGACTTCGAGACTCATCCAAAACGCTTCTGAGATTTCGAGATCGGGCCAAAATTTTCTGAGACCCACGTCAGTTTTTCAAGGTACCATTCTATACCCCTACTTTCAAGATCGGCGCGGCGTATCTTCGCTTTAATTTGTTACAGAAAAAACACCGTTCTTTTATGGGAACAAGCCGCTATCCGAAATGATTTTCGTGCCGGCGTATTAATTAAAGAGCTATACGGTAAAGTGTATAGACATACGGCTACAAGGCAAGAGCAGATAGCGAAACCATGGCTGGTCAGGCCGGGGTAGCTGTGAATCTTTTGTAATTCACCTTAACCATTCAAAGTTATGTTGTCAGGGCCACTTAATTGTATAAACCCTCACAAACCTTAACCTCAGTTGCGATTTTACCACAGAGCAGTTTCTTCATGACTAAGTTTGGTAAATTTTTATGAAGTTGCCTGGCGGTGCGATCTTACCGCGGAAGCTCTCCGTCAAAATTCTTTGGAAATGGAAAAATATATTAACGACAATGGGTGGTCAAAAATAGGAAGTTAAAAGCTTAGCAGCAGGTGATGTTCCATATGGTGAAGTAACGAAAATAAGACCTAAAGTATACTCGCTTGCATCTAAATCTACGCTACGACACTAACAATGAAGGACAAAAGAGGAACTCAAGAGATAAACGTTTTCTTTTTTTTCCAAAATTATCTCAGAGATACGGGAATAGATTTTGAGTTCGTTTGTTCAGCGGCACGTACTCAAACCTTCAAGAGAAAAAAAAACCAGGGAGAAATGACTTCATGCTGATTAGAAGACGGCGAGGGTATTTCTTTATCTTTGGGCAATTTTCGTAATCAAGGGTGCGCAATAAGATCCAGGGAATATATGTATGAACGTCTCGCGTTGAACTGGTTGTTCGCAAATTTCACGCTGTTCAAACTTTTGTGGGGGAAACACAGATGGTGCAAATCTCTAAGAATGAAGCGTTCGTTGTTTTGAGTTCAAGTACGCAAATTAAATTAAAGAAGCAGTTTTGTAATTTATAGCATCTTGCAGAAAATGATTTCTAATTATATCGTGTTGTCCAAGGTGAAAAAGGCTCTTGAAGTGGGAAAAAAGTGTCTGCCGTAATAATCTAATCTTCATTGGCCGAACTTATCCTAGAGACGAATTATCCGTCTGAGACGAATAATTCGTCCAAGTATAAATTCGGTGCTTAGACGAATCATGGAGCAAAATTCGTCTGAGTCTGATTCGTCTGTTAGGACGACTAGAATACGTGCTAACAGACGGAAAATTCGTCTTAGACGGAACGTAGACGGTTTTTTTGACGAATTTTCTACATGAGAGGGATTGGTTTCTATATTTTCGCAACCCGCGTAAAATATCTACACAAATTTTCGTCAAATTCTAGACGAATTATCCTTCTAGACAAATAGTTCGTCTCTAGTATAAATTCGGCCAATCTCGTACGCAACACAAGGATAAAACCTGAGAAGAAAAAAAAATACCTTAGACAAGACGGTGTTCTGTCGCACTTTGTAATACCTATCGCACTTTGTAATAAAAAAGCTGTCGCACTTTGTAATAACAGTTGTCGCAGGACATGTAAACCCAATGATAAGTATCATCATCGACCACAACAACAACAGTAACAATAATCATATAATATATAAATAATTATAATAATAACATTTCACTGAACGGTTTTAAAATGAACGACGCGGCGTTAATTTGGGGGGAATCTTAGTAAAAGCCGTTCAAACGGCATGTTTTACCAAATGAAACTTGTTTTCATCGGGGAAGACTAAAAGCACGATAATATTTATTTAATATTTAAGCATTGACACTCAAGAGTGAAGGTTGACGGATTTATTCCACTGTTTTGATACTTTCGGTACTTCCTTTGCTCGACCACTTCCAACAGTCGTCACAGTCGGGGTCGATCGCTAAGTCCGAAAGTTAATTACTTCTTCTTAGTATGACATGCTGGACGATTTCGCTACGAGAACTAACTATACAGCCGAAACAAGCAAGAGTAGCAGGGACTTGCGCCGACCATAACTTTTTTTATATGGATTCTCTTTGCCTACTTAGCCATAACAGAAAGGAAGATGCAATGAACAAAAAAAAAGACGAAAACCTGATTACACGACACAGGGTTCTGTCGTAGGGTGACATTACTATAGACACACGTTTTTCCGGGGAATTGTCTTCAACCTGTCACTCAGTTGGTTTTCTGTGTCATAGGGATGTTACCAGTGCTGATTGCCACCTCGTTGTCTTGTCGTTCACGCTCTCGTGCGCACACAGACTGAACCCTTGTTGCAAAAGAACGCGGACATACCATTTGCTTCATCTTCGTCCTGAATCTTGGGTTCAGCAAAGCGTAAGCAAAGGGATTGACGGCAGAGTTAAATATTATTATCGTGTGCGCGATAGGAGTCGTTAAAGGACTCAGTTTCACGGTGCTAGCATATTCTTCTATCAGGTGCAATATTCCGTCTGTTCCCCACGAGATTACAAGAATGGTACTGATGGAAACAACCATCAAGGTGACCCGCTTCCTTAACCTCAACACACCCTGTGTACAAAACAAATCCATAAACCACAGGTTACCCGAGTGTTCAATGTGAGTGATCTATAATACCCATTGTTTCGTCTTGTTCTGTATGATAGAAAAAATTTAAACCTTAGAGTCCAAACTGTAAGATCAGGAACAGGAAACCTTACACTATTTGAGACCTAAAACACCATAATGGTCAAAATACCATAACCCTTTGTTGCCATACACACCATTATAACTTTAATATGTAAGGGAGGAGGTAAACCCGAGTTAAAGGACAGCTAAATCCCCTGGGGGTTACTTCCTGTAATGGCCTATATGCGAGGCTCCGCCCGAAAAGGGTAACTCTCCTGTCAAAAATGGTATATAAAAGGATAAAGGGATGGACATCAAGGGAGAGCCTCCCCGTGTAATACTTTGTTGACTATCCCACTTTCCGGGGCTAAACCAAGTTATGGCCTACCTGTTGTTGATGTGTAAGTACATTATCACTGTGCTTGAACCATAACGTGTACACCACCTTGGAGTATAACAAGACCAGCAAAATCAACAGAGCAGGATCAATTGAAGTGTAAACAGTAAAGTAGGCCTTTTCCGCCTTCCTCAGTTAATAAGGAAATGCAGTAGTTAGAACTATTTTCCTTCGCAAAACGGCTCCGTTCCATGAATCCTGGCATTTTGTTTATTGCTGCGAGGATCCAAATTCCAGGAATAATCACCTAAAATATAGAGTCAAAATAATATTCAAAAAGGTGAATCACACACCTAAAAGTGAACTATTTTTGTCGAGACGAAAAAATGTCTTAGATACAAAGTTCGTCTCTGAGATAGGGAAAGCGCATTTGGGGGTAAGAATGGAGAGGCGAGACCAGGACACCATTCGCAACCCTCCCCATCAGATCCGCCCGCGATGTGTCTACCCGTTTCTTAATCAGTTTAGCTCAACAAGTGCCAGCCACGTGCCAGCATATGGACGAGCGAGGAAGAAGGCCTGTTTATAGCCTGTGTAGCAGGCGTCGAAAGTGGTAGAGGATTGGGAGGAAGGGAAAAGGGAAGGGAGGGTTGGGGAGAGACAGTAAGGGATCCCTGCCCTTTTTCCTGTCTCGCTTTTCTCCCTCATCTCCAAACCCTCCCCTTTTTGCGCAAACCACGATGGCTATTCTGTTTACTGGGCTGGCTGTTACGCATAGTAACGATGTCCATCGGTTACAACAAAAAACAAGGCTACTTTGTGTTGACAAATTTCTACCTGTATAACATTTTATTTCAAAGAAACACACCTTCACTTTGCGAAACGTTAGCTTTCCGCGGTTTCCATAGGGATGTACAACGGAATAATATGGTCAGCTATTACTGGTAATATATCGTTTTAGCCAAGGCTAAAAGCGAAGCTTCAGTGGGATTTTTAAGAGAGTCGTTCTCAAGTAATTCAAATGGTTTTGGTTGATCTCAAAAATAAACCTTGTTGAAGTCAAACCGTGTATAAAATCAACAACCCCTGGAGATACTCTTAAAATCACTTTCTGCGTCAGTTTAATAATCCATCATGCACCTTTGCTATAAATACGATCAGGTATTTAGGTTAACAACTGCTACTTCAAATTTACCTCATTTGTCGATTTTTCATCACTACAGCACAGACGAAACAATTTCCCACGATGCAGATGATAATTAATATGGAATTTATTGCTGTTAATGCGACATCAGCCGACTCCTCAGACATTGCTGAAGGTTGTAAGTCGTGTTTACACCCAAGTAAAATCTGTGTGAAAACAATTTTAATCAGCGCTTTGTTAGCTATTGGGTATTGCATTGGCCATTTATTTCAAAAAAAACGCACAAGAAATCTATACCGGGGTTTCTTTTCAGCTCAAACAGGGTTTTCCCTCTGTATACAATGACCAAACGTAAAGCGAACGGGAGGTAAAAATGTGCAATAATTGTACGCGACAAATGCTTATCTTTCGCCCATTTCTATATATTGTAACACAGCATGTCGGTAATCAAAACCTAAAGGAATACAGACATGCTTATGAAGTCAGATGGTCCATAATTTGTATCCTGTGTTTTCCGATTGTTTGNTGAAAACAATTTTAATCAGCGCTTTGTTAGCTATTGGGTATTGCATTGGCCATTTATTTCAAAAAAAACGCACAAGAAATCTATACCGGGGTTTCTTTTCAGCTCAAACAGGGTTTTCCCTCTGTATACAATGACCAAACGTAAAGCGAACGGGAGGTAAAAATGTGCAATAATTGTACGCGACAAATGCTTATCTTTCGCCCATTTCTATATATTGTAACACAGCATGTCGGTAATCAAAACCTAAAGGAATACAGACATGCTTATGAAGTCAGATGGTCCATAATTTGTATCCTGTGTTTTCCGATTGTTTGATTTGTTAATTCACAGTCTTGTACAGCGACGGAAATGAATTACGGTTTACTAATGTCAAACTTTTAACACTTTTAGCTCTTAACTTCTAACTTTGAAGATGAATTTTTCCCCCAGCATTGGCATCTAATTCAAACAGTTCCTTTCGGATCATGGTATTTAGCAGCCCCTTTACGCTTTCGGCTTTTCAAGGAGGATCCCCTTTTTACTGATTAATAGCAGCGATAAACAGCTACTTCAATTAATTAATGTTGTCGGATTTTAAGGCTATGCAATGTGTACACTACATGAACCGAATAGACATTCATGTCGACATGATAAAGCTAATGTTGCAGTATAAACACCTATCCAGTATGTGACAATCTACTTTCGGTCTACTTTCGGAGGAAAAGAATGGTGAATGGTTTCAAAATTCGAGACCGAGACTTAAGCGTTTGTATTAATTCCGAGCCGGAGACTTAACTTCAATAAAATTTCCAGCCCCGAGACTCTAAGCGCCAAAAATTTACGATGGTGGAAATCAGTAAAGCTGACTAAAATGATAGAAAACGTCAATGTAAGCTAGCGGAAGCCCACCAATATACTGCTTTCTCATGCTTTACTGTCTTAATCTAGTAGCTCAGTTCGATAAGCTGTTGCCACAGACTCTGAAAAATTGGACTCTTGAAGACCAAACGGAAAGAAAAAACGACAGATTCGAGACTCCGAGACTTCGAGACCCATCCAAAACGCTTCTGAGATTTCGAGATCGGGCCAAAATTTTCTGAGACTCACGTCAGTTTTTCAAGGTACCATTCTATACCCCTACTTTCAAGATCGACGTGGCGCAGCTTCCCTATCAGGTGGCTCGACTGGATTTGTTTGGGAGGATACTTCCCAAGTTTGCATGAGCATTAACTACGTCGCCATGAGTAAAGATATGGGACAAAGATTACCACAACTGTATTATATAAAGATGAAAGGCGCGATCCATTCAACCAAATTCAGACCGGTCCGACCGGGAAAAGAGGACCACCTCAAAAGGTGGACCTGTTTTTTCGAAACTTTTCCGGTTGGACCGAACCGATCCATTGAGTTTT